CACCCACCCACCCTGACGAGGTGCCCGCGATGCGACTCGCAAGCTCGTCACATCGCGGGCACCTCGTACGTCATGTTACGCTCGCTTCGCTCGCACTGTGGTAGAGCTGATGCTTGTTGCAAGACTCGACATATGTGTAGTGCTGAATATGCTGATGCACGCATGGTGCAGGGTTCATGTTTGTGCTACTCCCTCAAGCTCTACTGGGTTGTGACTCGGACACGCCGAGTGCGGTGTGGTTCGGCTAGTAATCTCGGGAGTCGGTATGTGCATAGTGCGGTCGTACCTCGGCCAAGCTCGAGATGCACTGATCGACATTTCGACGCGTCGCGTGCAGTTGATACTGAAATAAAGCAACTCTCCTCCTTTGCCTACTCCGCACCTCGTAAAGCACGTCCATGCCACTTATCGCCTCATCGCCTAGATCATGTCGGTCTGCGAGGAAGAGACAGGGTTGCAGATGCTACTGCTCGCGCGCAGACAGCTACGAGAAGGAAGGCGTCGAACCTTGAATTAAGCATCCCTGACGATCGCTCATCCGTACGCGTTTTCTACTGTTTGGCTCATTGAGTGTCACTGGCTCATCTGCAGATGCCAGATGCTATGCCGTCGAATATTGCTCCCGTCGCTGTGTCATCTCAGGATGCTTTGCCGTGGCCGCACTCAGCACCGGTGATGTGCCCCGCCCCGCCGGCTCTTCAGCCTCCCCAACCCCATCACCTCGAGCTTCTCCGTGTCTTCAAACGATCTCCATCATCTGCATTTCCAGTCTTCATCCCGCTCCGGAGACGAGCGTACCAAGAACCCATGGGTTTCTTCTCCCCGACTCGGCTGCACGCCATGCCAACAATAATCACGAGCTGAGTGAGATCCCCAGAACTGAACCAGCGTTCTGTTGCCCTCAATACAGACACTAGAGGTAATGGGAATCCACTTGCCTTTTCAGAGTCAGTGGCAACATTACTGCTCTACACTAGCTGGTGATGTATCTTCTCGGCATCTGCGGAGTCTGCCAAACCGGGAAGCGACACGACTGGCAACACCCGCCGCCATTTCTGTCTTTCAAAGGGGCTTCCCCTCTCGCGTGCACAGTCAAGGTCGCCGGCTAATGTTCATGTCCGCATCACTGCAGGGCGACTGCCGGTGACCAGTCAATGACCATCGCATCACTGGGGGCAGGCGTGGCCGCCGTACAGGCTCAAGCTAATAGTTGGAATGCCATTGGTACTTCAGGCAGACACCTTGCTCAGTGGTGGACACGTCTGTGTCCATTCTGTCGGCCCCCATGGATGTTCCGTCCGCCCAAGTGTCCCCTGAGAGCGGGTCTTTACTTTATGTGTTACGTTGTAAACGATAACATGACGTGCCCTACATAGTGAATTATACAGTATTGCCGGGTTAGACAATGCACAACTCGAGAGTGGCGCGGCAGATGCCGAGCGTGTGAACTAGCAACGGCCTGAGCACGCGTTGCTATGGAACGATTTGGGACGCGCGACGCGCCTCCACGGTCGGTAGATGCCGAGAGCGCTTCCAGCGAAGCACGCGTTGTCATGGAACGATTTTGAGCGCCTTTCGCCTCTGCGGCCCGCGAACTCCGAGACCACGCGAGGTTTCGCAGCGACGAATCGCGCGTCGACCATGACATGAATATCACGTGCCCGAAATGGAACGTTTTGCCCCCCCCAACTCGACCTTAAGCTGTGTCTCTTCGAGCCCCAGAAATAGTCGTAGGATGGAGGAAGGATGCAATATAATACGTAGGCAAATAGACATCAAGACAATTCACCCACATCCTCCCGCGCCTCGGCGACAAGCCTTTCCAATCTGGCCCTCCCTTTCGGACTCAAGTACTCAATACTCCCATCTTCGCAGGAGGCCTCGTACATCTCGATGATCTCGTAGCATTTGATGATACGCTGTCTTGCTAGCTTCCTATTCTCCTCTCGCAGGACGGCCCTCTCGGCTTGTGCCGCGAGAAGAGTCATTTCGACGTCGTAGAGCTCTTGATTAGCTTGTGCACGTAGTTGAAAGTAGGCTTGGACGTCAGGATCTATGCGAATGTATAGGTGTGAGAGACTGAACGTATGGCTCATGGAGAAGGGTTCGACGCACCGTTGATCATGTTGATTGCATCTTGAAGAGGGAAACTGTATCGTATGAAGCAGTCTAATAGCTCAAGAGTGACGTCTGTCTGAGATTTCCAGCGGTCGCGCATAACGGCACGAATATCGTTTGCAAGACGAGCCAGCTCTGTATCTGAGTCATCGTCGTCCGTAGCCATCAGTTCGAGCAGAGCGGGCAGGACTGGAGTGTTGATCAAACACAAGCGGCAGCCGAGGGTAAGTGTGCCATACCTTCTGGGGTAGGCTCGGCGTCGGGTTGGATGGCCGTTAGCAGGGGATCGACGTTCGACATGGTGCTGCCCGGACAAAGATACAGGGCGGGATGAGAGTGAATGGTGAGGGAAGACTCCAGGAGAAACTAGCCCATATATACGAGCATTGATGTGGTTTGTGCCGTGGTTGAGAAAACCACGCCGCGCGATGCCTATGTTCAGTCTCTTGTGGACCGACGCTACCGGAGAGTACTAGTCGCGTAGTGCTCGCGAGAGTGTAGGTACAGGCTCTTTCAGAGAGTCCCCTAGGGACAGTAGAATATGGGATTGCGGCGTGTACCCGTATTGGCAGAGCGCTCATGGCGGAAGTGAAGCAAGTCGCATCAGGCTTTGAGCACCTGGGGGAGCCAGAGGCCCAGAGCCCCTGAGCGCGGAAACCGGATCACACTCTCGGGATGATAAAAGGTGCCCGAGGTAACGCGGGTGGCACCGCTGCACGCCTTTTGCGCCGCCCGCCGCACTTCTTGCTCGACTTCGCAGACCACCCATGATATGCATGAGACATATAAAGTCGCTGATATTGGTATGGATTACCACATCGACGGAGCATTGGCGGCCCAACGCCGCGTGCACGTCCAGCCTGGACTACCACGTGCATATACACGGTTCCCGAAGTTTGTGAATTCAAGGGTAAGATGCAGGTGAGGCAGATCTACAATGATCGAGGAGAGAAACATGCGGTCGCGAACTTCGGGTCTGCGAGAGGAACAGTGATCTACGAGCTTACAAAACCGTGCACTCTACATGACGTCCTCAGAAGAGGGGGATGATCGCGCTCGAGCCGGCTCTCCAAGATTCAGACACATGCGCGCAAGAGCAGCCATCTCGTCCCTAGCGACCCGCTGGGCCGCTGACACATCCTCGAACTTCAGTTCTACGGCCTCACACAAGACCCGATAATCGGCTAGAAGCTCCGTACACGCGTGAGTGCACGCCCGTTCCTTCGGCCTGTCGGCCTCGATGAACATCTTGATCGTCTGGTACGATTTCGCAAAGCGCTCTCGTATACCGACGAGATTGGCCTTTATTTCGAGAAGGCCCATCTCTTCGTCGTATCGCATCTGGATGTCGTTGTCGCGCTCTTGGAGTAGAAGTTGTATGGTAGGATCTGGAGTGGGACGTTGAGTCGTGAGCTGTAGCTCGAGTATGGGTGAAGGAGGGTTGAACGCACTGTTGAGAACGGCACCCGATATCGGCGTGGGGAGGCCATAGCGACTCTCAAGACAGTCTTGCAACTCGGCGATGATCTCGTCGCTGCGCTTCCAGGGGTCTTTGAGGATATCCCGGGCGTCGGCGTGGAAGCGGCTCGACGGATCCCTATCGTCATCAACCATATGTGACGCAGGCGCTGGGCGAAGAATGAGTTTGTATATGCACATGGACATCCAGCGGGCTTCAGCGTCAGTTGACGTACTAGCTGAGACCAGCCCGGCAAATGGGACGAGAGCGAGAAGGATCAAGAGGTCCGACATGTTGTAGCCTGGCTGGATGCGCTGTCAAGTTTACCGACGGAAGGTGCTATGGAGCCAGCGCAGATACAGCTGAATGTAGAGTGGGGGAGGTACGCTGGTGATGGGAACGGTGAAGGAGGAAGGTGAAGCGTCGAGCGCTCGCCATGTTCGCATTCCTGCGGGCTGCCGGATAATCGCGAAGACGCCTGTCAGCGTCTGAGATCCATGCGCGTCGGCTCTGGCGTATCTCGTGTGCAAGACAGTCACTGCTCGTATGATAGCTGCTAGCATCATGAATCCGCGTTCGTGGGTATACCGGGCGGCAAGTAGCGTTTGTGATGGCTCATCGATGGTAATACGAAGCAAGGCGCGCGAGTCGGCGGCCCCGCAGTCGCCCCGAAGCCCCTGAGCGCAGAAAGCACGCGCGGAGCAACATCATCCTATCTGCTACGAGCGCGTTATCCGCGCACCTCACGTAGTATGCGACAATACAGTGTGATAATAGTATGATGTGGGACATCGCAGGTTGGTATATAACGCAACACGTATCAAGCCTTGTGGCCCAAAGCCTCCCGGGACCCAGCGGCAAGCGCCTCAAGCTTAGCCCTCTCATCTGCGCTGAGCTGTTCGAACGTCCCATCCTCGCGAATGACCTTGTACTGCTCGAGGAACTCAGAGTGCATAGCCCTATGCTCTCGTTCCATCCGGCGCTTGACTTCGAGTATAGCCTCTCTCTCCAGCTTCAGCTGCCTTTTCTCCTCGCGTAGAGCGGCGGTCTCAGCATCTCTCGCGAGGATACGCATTTGGAGGGTGTACAGCTCTCTGTTCGAAAGCTCGCGGTCTTCGAAGACGGCTTGGATGGCGGGGGCTGCGGGGCGTCGTTCAGTCGGGGATGAAAGTGAGGGGGTAAGGAGTTGAGGGGGGACGTACTGTTGACCCAGTTGATCGAGACGGACGGGGGGACGCCGTATATCATAAGACGCTCTTGTATCTCGATGGTGATCTCGGCTCGGGTCTTCCAGCGGTCGGAGAAGATAGATCTGATGTCGGACTGGAGAAGGGTCATCGAGGCGAGTACGGCTGCAGACATGGCTTCGTCGTCGGCATCGTTATTGTCGGCAGGCGCTGCCAACAACGCGGGATGAGCTGTGGGCGACACGCTGTAAGATGAAAATCACGAGTGAGTACGGGCTTGACGTACCTGCTGGTATAACCTCGGCGGGTAGGAGAGAAGTTATGAGAGTGACGGGGTCCATGATGCTATTCGGGCAATGTTTGATAGGTTATTTGATAGGAAACGAGGCTGAGAACGAATGCTCTCTGGGGTCCGCGATAGGGTATAGGTATGTGGTATGTCGTGGACTGTAATGGTGGCAGACGATAGAGAAATCTTCATTCTGTAGGTTTCGAAACCGTGTTTGCATTCTTGCAGGCCGGTAGGACCCAGACAAGCGCCGCCCTTTCCGAGCCTTCGCGAGCATAGACGGAGATACTGTATGCCATTACCGCGCAGGGCTTCCTCAACCGTTATGCACTAGCAATAGTATCGTTCACGCAAGATGTACCGGAAGACGAGGTCCGCTAGTGAGCTGGGAGGTATTATTGCACACGATGGTAGTACGAAGCAAGACGCGACGACCCGGCGGCAACGGAAGGATCGACGCGTCGAAACCCCTGAGCGCGGGAAGCCTGCCACGGCGCGCGCGAAATTGGCTTGACGCGCTGGCGCGCCCGTCGACGCGTCTCTGCAGCCTGCGCTCACCACCAGCAGCCCACCATGCGACGTGCAGCGCGTCTCCCAAGCACAGCGCTACGTCATGCGTCCCACTCCACCCCTTCTGCGTCCTCCTCGTCGCTGCGCCTGGCCTCGACGTCGGCCTCGCCGCTCCAACCTCTGTCCGGCGAGCTGGGCCCTCACATGACATTCATGCCCCCACCACTGCCCGAAGACAGTCGCAAGGGAATGGCCGACACGTTCTTTCCCGATACGGCACAACAGGATCTCCGGGCCGTGATGAACGCCTGTTTACACGCCGGCTACGACGTCCGACGCGCGCTCGCTATATTCGACGAGATGCGTTCTGGCGAGGGGCGCGTGGAAGTGGCCGCGTATAACCGCGTCATTGCGGCGTGTCTCGATATGATCGAGCGCGAACCGCATAAGGCCGTCGTTTGGCTTGATGATGCATTGGAGTATATTCGAATATTGCATGATGGGAGCGACGGTGTTGCGCCGAGTGCGGGCACTTATGCGTTGGCGCTGCAGGCGTGGGTCATGTATGGCCAGAATGCGAAGGAGGGTGAGGAGGTCGAGGCAGAAGGAGAAGGCGTGGGGAAGTTGCAGAGTGATGTGTATCTGAGGCCGAAGGAGGTGTTGAGGGGTATTGTGAGGCATGATTTGGCCGTGGAAGAGGTCGTGTCGGATCATCGGATTGCTGACGACGGCGTATGTCTATCTCTTTTCCTACATATGTCTCTGTGTTGACACAATGTACAGGTCGCGTCGGAAATGCTCAGGACACTCCTCCGAGTAGCAGCCAAAGACAACGCGTTCAAAGGCGTAGCAGAGCGTCTTGTACAAGCAGACGAGATTGCACGGCATCTCCAACAAGACTCGCTTGAAAACGTGCCGGACGTGAAACCAGTCGAGATTCAAGCGGTAAATCTCCATTGCCCATTCACACGCATATATGTTGCTTATATCTTTGTGCAGACTGGACCATCAGGCTCGGCCTCGACAGTCCCATTCAACTTGCAAATCCTGCGCGATCATCTCACATCAACACAACTCTTCAAGCGTCTTCTCCCGGCGGATCAAATGGCGCGTCAGCTCTTGCTCGAACGGTCCGTTCTTGACATTGCGGGCGAGCGGCTGCGCAAGCTGGCCGAGCAGTTCGAGAAGATCGGTTTGGACAAGGTACGGTCCTCACCTTGCATATGCGCATTGACAGATGAATGGAAGCTGACGCATCACGTGTAGAATGCCCGGAAGAGCGACGAGAGCATTCAGCGGTGGATGTGGGACTGGAACGTCAAACTCGTCGAACGTCTCAAGAAAGATATTCGTGCCGTTCGGAGAGAGGAAGATCGTGCGGTTGGTGGATCGGACAAGTAAGCGACATTTCCCTTTACCTTCGTATATGCGCTCTGGAAACATGTTGTTGACTTGGAATAGGGACATCACGCGCGTCGCGCCGTTCTTGGAACTGCTCAAACCAGAAAAGCTGGCGCTTATCACGATTCTCGAGGTACGCTTCCCACACCTGTCATTCCAGTCGAGCGCTCGCTTATGTGTGGCGATGTAGATCATGCGGTTGCACGGTACTGGTGGTATCGCGGACGGGATGAAGACTGCGCGGGCATTGCTCGTTGTGGGAAAAGCCGTTGAGAGCGAGTACAAGGTACTTCATCCCACTCTTAACTCTGCATCCCACATATATGCTGACATCTATAATAGGCCGAAGTCAGCCGCAAATACGGCTTGTCGGTTCCTTCACTTGGTCCTTCTGCCGATGGAACGCGGTTCTCGTATGCGGATCTGCATAAGAGGCGTGTGGCGGCGAGGTTACAGATGACCGACGCGGAACAGGTACGTCGCTAGTTCTACTCTGCATAAGGAGAAGTAGGACGCTGACGAGATGGTTGTGTGCAGTGGACAGACGATTGGAGTCAAATCGTCCGTGTACGCGTCGGCGCGTTCTGTGTGTATCGGTTGATGGAGGAGGCCAAGGTATGCTTTACCTCAATGCCATCTCCCCCCGACCAGATGCTGATACGTGCATGCTGTGTAGGTCGAGCGTGTAGGACGCAACAAAGCGACAGGCGAAGAAGTCGTCGAGTACCACCCCGCGTTCAGCCACGGGTACGAGTACTTCAGGGGGTTCAAGTTGGGGACAATCAAGCTGAACCCGCTCGTAAGTCCCTTTTTCAACTCGTTTATGGCGGTGCAGATCGCTGATAGTGGGCTCATGTAGGTCTCCGAACGCATCGCAAAAGACAACGTCCGCGAAACGCTTCACCCCCGCCATTTGCCTATGCTCGTCGAGCCCAAACCATGGACGGACTGGAACTCGGGAGGGTACTATACGATTCAGAGTCATATCATGCGCTTCAAGGTACCCTCTCCCCCACATACCCGCGAGTGAAGTGATGCTGATGCGATTATGGTGGTGTAGGACAGCCAGGAGCAGAAAGCACTGCTGCAAAAGGCGGTTCAGGAGGGAAAGATGGAGCAGGTCTTTTTCGGGCTTAATGCGTTGGGCGCTACGCCGTGGAGGATCAATCGGCCGCTGTTCGATGTTGTGCTCGAGGTGCGCTTCCCATCACCGTCTTCACGCATACCTTCATAATCACCACCAACGTTTGCTCACTTCGCCTATGTTTGGTAGGTATGGAACTCTGGCGAACGCATGGGCAAGATCCCACCGTCCGAATTCGACGGCCCTCCGCCCGAAAAGCCAGCAAACGCCGAAACGGACCCGCACGCCCGGATGGCCTACCTCGCGCGCGCGAAGAAGTACGCGCAGGACAAGGCCGCGAATCATAGTGACAGGTGCAGTGTGAACTATAAAATCGAGATTGCTCGCGCGGTGAGTGGCACTTTTATGCGTATATACTAGAGAGAGGGGATGCTGATGTGGGTGTGTGTAGTTCTTGGACGACGTGTTCTATCTGCCGCACAATCTTGATTTCCGTGGACGCGCGTACCCACTTCCGCCGCATTTGAACCATATGGGGAATGATCTTTCTCGTGGGTTGTTGCTCTTCGCTACAGCCAAGCCGCTCGGTAAGTCCTCAGCGCGCCTCGTGATACAGGGAGAATGGCGAGCTCATGGTTACGCGTATAGGCGAGCGCGGGTTGAGGTGGCTAAAGATCCATCTTGCGAACTTGTATGGGTACGACAAGGCGACGTTTGATGAGCGTGTCGCGTGGGTCGATGAGAGGATTGAGCAGATTATGGCTTCGTACGTCTATTTCGCCGCTTTTGTTTGCAGGGTTCGGAAGGCTGATGTTGTGATCTACAGCGCGAAGAACCCTCTCGGCCCCTCCGAACACGAATCATGGTGGAAACACGCCGACGACCCCTGGCAATGCCTCTCAACATGCATGCAGCTCTCCAACGCCCTAAACTCTCCCGACCCGCTCGCATACGAATGCCCCTTACCCGTCCACCAAGACGGTACCTGTAACGGTCTGCAGCATTACGCCGCTCTGGGCGGCGATGCTCAGGGTGCGCGGCAGGTCAATTTGGATGTGGCGGAGAGGCCGAGCGACGTGTATACGTATGTGGCGAACATGGTCGAGAAGAGGATCGAGGAGGATCTGCAGAGTGAGGATGCGAGGACTAGGCGGTATGCGGAGTTGTTGCATGGGAGGATTGCTAGGAAGGTCGTCAAGCAGACTGTACGTGTTCCTGTTCATCCTGCAATTAGACCGTGGGAACTGATTGATTGATGTAGGTCATGACGACCGTGTACGGCGTCACCTTCATCGGCGCGCGCGAGCAGATCGAGAAGCAGCTCCGCGAGCGCGGCGAGTTGCCCGCGGAAGAAGTATACATGGGCGCGGCCTACCTCGCCCGTCAAGTCCTCTCCTGCATTGGCGATCTCTTCCAAGGCGCGAACGAGATCATGCGCTGGCTCACCATGTCCGCGCGCGCCATCGCGAAGTCCGTGCCGGGCGAACGTCTCCCGCATGCGCTCAGCATTGTGCAGCCGAGTGGGACGTGGAAGAACGCAAAGAAGAAGAGCGCGTTTATGAGGGTTAGGAAGGAGCAGATGGGCGCGGTCGTTTGGACTACGTTGCTTGGGTTGCCGATCGCGCAGCCGTATAGGAAGGTCAAGAGGAAGCAGATCCAGACGAGCGTGCAGAGCGTGTTCATCTCGGATCCGAATATCCCTGCTGAGGGTACGTCCTTATCTCCTTCGCCCTCCTTCGGGGTGCTGATTGCGTTGTTTAGTGAACGCGAAGAAGCAAGCCACCGCTTTCCCGCCCAACTTCATCCACTCCCTCGATGCCACCCACATGCTCAAAACCGCCATCGAATGCGCCTACCGCGGCCTGATGTTTGCAGCCGTCCACGACTCGTACTGGACCCACGCCTGCGACATCGACGAGATGTCGAACGTCATCCGCGATACGTTCATTGACCTCCACTCCTCCGACGTCCTCAAGCGTCTCGACGACGAGTTCCGCGCGCGGTACGCAGACCATAAGGTCCCCGTTGTATCGGCGAAGGCCGCGGCGTTCATGAAGAGTCATGCGGGCGCGGCGGAAGATGGGGATGCGCTGTATGCTGCGGAGGATGTCAAGCTTGACGAGCTTAAGGGAGATGATCTGGACCTGACCAGTGCGGCGAGCGACTTCACGAGGGCGAAGAGGAGTGCGGAGCAGAAGAAGGGCGTTGTGGATGAGTATGCTGAGGCTGAGGAGGAAGACGAAGAGGCGGGTTTACCGGGTGAAGATGGCGATGCGGAACTGCATGTACAGGATCCGGTCGAGGGAGAAGCGGTCCTGAAGGATGCGCCGGACGCGATTGGTGCGGAGCTGGAGGATGCTGCTGATGGCGACGCGAGGCAGCGCAGGGCGGAGGTGCAGCAGTTGCTGAATACGGAGAAGAAGGGGAAGGCTGCGAAGAAGGACAAGGAGGCGTTGCCGTCGCCTGAGGAGCTGCATGGCAAGTTCGTAGATCTCGTTGATCTATTGCCGCAGTTGCCGAAGAAGGGAGAGTTTGATGTGAGCAAGATCAAGCAGAGCTTGTACTTCTTTTCGTAGACTCCTCGTGCTCGATCTATCAGCCGTCTTGTGCTTGTCGTACATTACACATTCGTACTGCTTTCTCTTTCGCCCCACTCGTCCTCTACATCGGTTTCTTCGTCGCATTGTCCATACATCGCACGCTCATGCTGTCTAGTCGCACTCTTTCCAATCCTTGCTCACACACCTATCTACATAGCATCTATATTACTCAGAATAATGGTTCATACTTGGAGATGCGCCAGTCGCGTATGGAGCTGAAATTGCGCTCTTGACGTAAGTGTTCAAGCATTCGTTGGGATCTGCAAGGAATAGCGTGTGTAGGGAGTTCGTCACGATACAAGGCTAGTATATACACACAAGTATAGTACATGATTTCATCAGCTGACCAGGGTATAGCTTCTCGTGACAGCGTACATATCAGACAATATACATACACATAATTCAGACTGTCCGAGAGGGAAACCAGTAAGGAAACGTAGACCACAAGTCGTTCAGGAGCTGCCGGTAGCAACGCCCTCGCCCATGGCGTCGCTGTCGAGGGCATGAGCGCCGTGTCCGATGGCGCTCATGAGGGTCTCCTCGCCCTCGTTGGCGTGTGGCTGGAGCTCCTCCTGCGTGACGCCACGCTTGGTCAGCGCGTAGTCGCGGCAGGCTTCGCGGCTTTCTTTGAGTGCGGGATCTTCGTGGTCGAGTGCGAGTACAGTGAACCACGGGAAGTTGTAGGAGAGGCAAGCTTGCAGCGCGGGCAGCATTTCCTTGTCAGGAGAGTAAGTTCCGCTGTACGATGTTCAGATCAGTATCGCAGAACATGGAGGAGAGCAATTGAACTGACGAGTTGTTGTCGATGACGAGCTCCCACTCGACTTGATCATCAGGCGTATCGTCTGAGAAGCTTGCCCATCCGCCCTTCGGACGAGGATGGAACTCGCCAGAGTAGTACACCTTCTCGGAACAATTCGCATGAAGAGCATGCTTCGACGCGAAGTCGACGAAGAAAGCTGCGCCCGTCTCGGAGAAGCGAAAGGTCTCGTCCTCTGGAGCGATCACGTAGGTGTAGACTGCGGGCTTGACGCGATGCTTGGCCAGTTCGCGAGGGCCACTGCTGCGCCCGCCGCCGCAGAGGAGATCGGTGACGTCCTTGGCGGTTTGGATGGTGCCGAAGCCGTTCCGGGTTGAGCGGGCGTAGAGGAGGCTGTGTCCGGTTTTGATGCTTGAGCGGACGGCGAAAGAGCTAGGACCAGTACCGAAGATCGTCTTCGCAGCACTGTGAAGGCCAGAAATCAGATCCAGAACATTGGCACTGCCGGTATGTTAGTCCATACCTGTAATCGTGATTCCACTCTTGGAATGTATGATCAAAGAACGCGGGTACGGCCTTGAGCGAAACTTTCCAAGTCGAGTACAAGCGTTCGTCGTTCACAGCTGTGAGCCGTCCGACGGTAGGCGAGAAGTGGCGAGAATATCGGATGGGCCCGTCGAATGTGTATGGAGGGCAGTGCTGTATATTGTCGGCAGGTTCGCGCGACTCGATCTTGAGCCAGAAGGTGCCTTTCGTGCGGCCGGTGATGGTCCCCTCGATCTCGCACTAGCGTTGCCTGTTTCAGTATACAAGTGCGGGAGAAGAGAAGAGGTGAACGCACTTCTTTGGCGCCGGGGTTGATCGTGGTATGGAAGGTGCCAATGACATCGTCGAGACGCCCCTGAATGGATGAGCGTCAATATACATGACTATCTGGATGAAAACAGCGCGTACATTGTCCTTATCGTAGACGGTCACGTTCAGACCGGCAGTGCTGGGTACGTTCTTCACGTGCCAGCTTTCGTTCCATACGGGCGCTTGTGTCCCGGGCTGCACGGTTGATCTATGAGATGGTTAGCATAGCACGGAGAAGTATCCGTATCAGGCACGCACATGTAGCTGATGTTGTCGTCGAGTTTGGCGACGAAGAAGGGGTCCGCGGTGCCAACCTGAAGCCATTCATTAGGGGTGGATGAGGTGGGAGTACATAGGGAAGACGTGCAAGATCCATCTTCGGTAACTACTCTCGGTGCAGATCAGCGCGTTATTCGGCAGAACAAGCGAGCAGCGCACGCACCCCGGACGCCCCGATGAACTGAATAGACAGGTCAACATACTTCGCCTTTCCCGAGGCTTCGTGGACTTCATGGTGCAGACGGTTCTTCGCAACATGCGCATTGGCACGCGCGCTCGCGACTTTCGCGTGCAAACGGGTGAGGAGGGATGACATCGTCGCCAAGCCAATGTTCAGATCTATCTGCGCAGGCGTTCGTCATGCATCGTGCCAACTTCACCGAAGCTGTTAACGAACCGGTTTCTGGAGGGCGTTGCGGCTCGCCGAAAAGCTCTCGCTAGAGAGGCGATGAGAGGGGGAAGTAAGCGGTAAACAATCCCGAGCATCATGTCGTCAGCGCTCTTCAGCCGGTACCGGTGCTCAGCGCTTCGCTCCAACTGATCAACTTCGCACTGGCAGTAATTGAGGATACGTAGTCTAGAGACGTTCTGCATTTCTTCCAGGATAGGATGTATTTCATCCTAGGTACAAGTTCATTCGGCGGCAGTGCTGGGTGTGTCACTACGAACTGTAAGACAGACTCACGTCAAAGTCGTCGACCACGCTGCAGAAAATGCAGATCGGCCCGATATCCGGCACACCTAAACGCGACCACGTGCTTGGTGTGGTTGATCGCGGCCTCAGCTCGCGTCTTCTTCTCAACCTCAACCACCACCCTCATCTCTGACTCGTTCGGGAACTTGCACGTGCATCGATTAGAAGCAACCACCATCACTTGCAAGTCCTCTTAAACCTGAGCCACCGTGAGTTGCTTCTTGCGTCTTGCCTCCCACCACGATCCCGTTCCTCACCATGGCCGGCGCTCAGAAACACACTTCCACGCATCCTGCGGTGCCGCCAGAACGACGCACCAGCGCTCACGTCAAAGTGGGATCCAAGACTACCCCCAAACGCTACGCGCGCTCCGGCGTTGGACCGTTCACTCTCTGCAACCGCCTTACAGCCAAGCAAGCCTACGACCAGCTCTCGATAGACATGAAGGACGTCTTCAGCAGCTCCATGCCATATGCGCTGTTCTTGAACAAGTTCCATCCTGCTCGCTCCGACAGGCCGCCTCTACCTAAGCTCAAGTTTACGGTATTGCTGGGCTGTGAGCTGAAACAGTATCCTGTTTCTGGATACCAAAAAGGCAAAGATACTGTCTCGGACGTCGTATGTTTTCTCATAGCCCTCGCACTTACATCGGCTAAGAATTATATTAGTGTCACGCCATCAACGTCAGCGGGGTCTGCCCGTCCATCGAGTTTATCAGCACCGAGAACGTCTACATCAATATGGACGGGAGCCTAGCTGAAGGCGATCCTCAAGACAAGTTGAAGGTAGACGCTAGCGGCATGGCCAAGACTCCGAACTCTCAGCACCCTAAAGACGGTCAAGCCTCCGTCATCATTACTCCCAAGTGGGAGCGTATGCGTGTTACGATGGAGTTCAAGCTCTTGATTGAGGATGTCGTAGTGGACCCGGATACGGAGGTGGAGGAGGTTGTGAGGAAGCTGCAGGTACGACTGAATTCGTCTACACTGGACTTAGCATCTGACTTGCTTTGACAAGGGCGTCGTTCATCAAACCGAGAGAGCTCACCTTGCTCGCGGTCAGGCGTCGACCTACGTGCTTCACCAGTTCGGCCGTCAGTCCCGCACTGCTGTTACGTCGATCCTCATTCTCGAGAACTGGGCTCGCTTGCTACGCTACGACCACGCTGGCGTTGTGGTTTCCGAGCGCTTCGACTGGCGCGCCAATGACGGCGAGCTTCTGGCCGAGTTCCTCTCCCGCCTCGAGCACGGTACGCCTCAGGAGGAAGGCATCGACGACTCCGTCGGAGATCTCTCCGCTTTCGGCGGTGAAGACTCGGAGGTCGTCAAGGACGCGCGCAAGGCCATGCAGGAGTTCTCGGACGGCATGATCGCTGTGCCCATCACCGATGACGCTCCGCTCCGCTCGGTCGAGTGCTGGGACGACAGTCAGCTCGGCGACGATGGTCTGCCAATGTCGCGCACACTCATCGCCACGCAGCCCTTGGGGCTCAACTTCTCCATCGTCGGCCGCTACACCGTCAGCTTCATCGGCTACGACGCTGAGAAGCGTTGCGCGTACTGGGTCAAGGACTCGTGGCCGATCAACGACCCCGAGTTCACGAAGGAGGGAGAGATATACAAGCGGTTGAAGGACGCGGGCGTTCCTCATCTTGCTGAGATCGAGTGCGCCGGCGAAGTTCGCTGGAAGGCGAACAAGGCGGTGCAAAGGACCCGGACGGACGAGTTCGCCAAGGAAGGATGGTCGGGACTCACCGCGAACATTCACCCGCTCTCCCACTATCGCATCCTGTTCAAGGATATCGGACGTCCCGTCAGCAAGTTCAAGTCTACGCAACAGCTTGTCACCGCTCTCTCTCACGCCATCAAGGGTATGTTCAATTTTTTCGTCATCGTCTATGTTGTTGACTGACACATGATTGGATCAGCTCACTCCGTCGCATACGAGAAGGCCCACGTTCTGCATAGGGACATCTCCCCCAACAACATCCTCATCAAGAGGAACGGCGACGGGATGCTCATTGACTGGGATCTCGCCCTCTTGTACGGCAATCTCCCAAAGGATATGGCCAATCGCAGGCCTCGCATGTTATGGAGAACTGTGAGTGACTACTACTTTCTGTGCAACGTTCTCCCGTTCTAACCGGTCATGTAGGGAACGTGGGCATTCCTTTCAATCTCGCTTCTCAAGAAGCCGTTCAGCAAAACGCATGAGCTTTGCGACGACCTGGAATCCTTCTTCTGGGTCCTGCTCTATGTCGTGCTTCGCTACCGATATGGACCTGTCAAATGGCTCGAATCTGCGAGTGACGGGACGTTCCAGCAGTATATGTTGGAACTCTTTGAGTCTAAGTCGATCGACGGAAGCGGAATCACAATCGGAGGAACTCAAAAGGAGCTTTTCCTGATGGGGGCGCCAGGTCAGCTCTCAGAGACAGAATTCGTGACGATGAAGGACGTCTCTAGGAAAGGCATGCCTGCTCCTCTCCGGGAGTTGCTCGTCGCTCTACGTCAGGAATGGAACAAGTTCTACCAGGCTATGAATGCGCCTGATCAGGCTGCTCTTGATGCGGCAGCGAGGGCTGACATTGCTGCAACTGACGCGGAGGACGAGTACGACGAGTACGGCGACGAAGATGACGATGCCGACGCACTCCCCGAGCCCCCGCGGCCCCCTCAAGCCACGCAATCATCATCATCGCATCTGACGACACGCACGGTGCCTACCCTCTTCGACACATCCACGTACCTTCTCGGGCGCTTTGAACGCGCTGCCGCAGCCAAGTGGCCCCGCCGCCCTATGTCGGATTCATCTATTGACCGCTTTCCTTACATCCACCTTCCCACAACGACGCGCCAGAGCTTGCAAGAGACGGTCCCGCCGATTCACGCGACGCGCAGTGACAACCCCCAGCACAGGCGCGCGGGCGATCCGTCCAACAACCTGCACGACCGGCCGACTCGCGAACAGTTGGCGGAGTCCGCCCGGGCACGGGCAGGCGGCGACTTCTACACACTTCCTTTACCTGGGCGCTCGGAGTCTCCTCGCGGGCAGAAGCGAGCGCGGGAGAGCGCACTGGATTCCATCCCCGAGGAGAGGGAGCCCAAGGTGGCCAAGTACGAGGCGCAGGTGATCACTTTGAAGCGTCAAGACGCTGGCCCACCCAACGAGGTCTATGTCCGAGATGCCGAAGGTAACATCGTCAAGGACGAACAAGGATTCCCGAAGATTACCGAGGCCTGGAGCGCCACATTCTGACATTGTTCCGCCGCTAGCTGCTTTGTACTCATTTTCAAACTTTGCTTGTCGCTTGCTTCCAGTGTATTGTAATAATTGTTATTTGGCTATTACTATCTCTTGTACTCCACCACCCGATATGCGTTTCTCCCATTCTATGCCTACGAGCGCAAGCATCATCGGAATAAGGGCGATTATTTTGGAAAACAAATTGTGCAAAGGTTGAACACCAGTGCGTTGGGCATGGCGCTGTCGGCCCGAATTGCCGGGCGCGTGCGGTTGCGCTTGGAACGCGACCTGCCTTCTATCCTCTAACCACGTCAACCACAGCTTGGCGGGTATATTAGGCCTGAATCCCACTTATATCTGTGATGTGCTGCCAGAACAACCTTGCCGCGCCCGCGTTTGAACCTGAGGCCTCACAATTTTGCGCTACAGCACGCTCCCCGACGGGCCGCAAGACATCCCACTCACAATTGCCTTATCAGTACGACAGGAGAGTTTCGAGCACTCACCAAGGATGGAGGACGTTACCGGCTGCGTAATTCCACTTGCGCTATTCTTGGACGAGTTCTATCCAACTAGCTCTGACAACCGGTCTCTGCCCAAGCTTCACTTCTGCACCCCGTTGCCTTGCGAGCAAGACGGAAAGAGTGGGAGAACATATGGCTATACCCGCGGCGACAGCATTGTCACCGACGTTGTACGAATAGTATCTTCTCTTCCAAACGCTTGTCGTCTGATTATATTTATAGTGTCGCGCAATTAATGACAGCAAAGTGTGCCCATCCATCAGATTCATCGACACAGAAAGCGTGCGCGTCGATCTGTGCGGTGTTCTTGCCGCCGAAACTCCCAGCGTCAAGCTTAAGGTCGCCGCTAGTGGTATGCTGAGGCCCAAGGCTGGTGAGGATCGCTTAGAGTTAAAGCCGAACTGGGGGCGCATGAAGGTTGCTATCGAGTTTAGGCTCGAGTCAGAGGACCCCATCATGGAGACGTGTCTTGATTGGATGACTGAGCAACGGGAGAAGCATGTGAGTGACTCCTGCATCGTGTTAGGGGGTAAACATGTTGATTGATATATGTGTTTATTTCAACTTACGGATATGTGCATCAGAGTCCCAATGCGATACATGCGAGTGGCCAGACGTCGTCATACGCTCTACACCAGTTCAATGCTCGGTCGCATACTCACGTAACATCCATCTCCATTGCGGGTCGTTGGGCACGCCTTCTCCGCTACGATCACAGTGGCGTCGTCGTATCTGAGCGCTTCGACTGGCGATCTGATGACGGCCGCCTACTGGCTGAGTTCCTGTCTCGCCTCGAGCATGCTACTGCCCAGCAGGATGGTGTCGACGACTCTGTTTGCGACGCTTCAAATGTCTTCACGAAGCCCCAACTCTCTGCAGCTGTCAAGGCCATGCAAGAGTTCTCCGCTGGTATGATAGACGTCCCCATCAAGGACGATGCTCCGCTACGCGCTGTAATGCGTTGGGACGACAGCAAGCTGGGCGACAACGGCTTGCCGTCTGCGCGAACTCTCATCGCTACCGAGCCACTCGGCGTCAACGTCTCGATCGTGGGCCGCTTTACCGTTAGCTTCATCGGCTACAACCCGGTCAACGAAACCGCGTATTGGGTCAAAGACTCGTGGCCGATCGACCGCCCAGGCGAGTTCGAGAAGGAAGGACAGATCTACGAGCAATTAGCAAAAGCGGGAGTTCCTCATCTTGCAGGGGTCGAGTGCGCGGGCGAGGTTCGGTGGAAGGAAGACGGCACGGTGCAGAAGTCAAGGACGGCCGACTTCGTAGGGTCGCCTTGGGCTGGGTCCACCGTCAACATCCATCCGCTCTCGCACTATCGTATCTTGTTCAAGGACATCGGCCGCCCCATCACCAGGTTTGAGTCGACCAAGCAGCTCGTCCGTGCGCTGTCGCATGCTATTGAAGGTGAGATCGTTCTTATCGCTCTTGTTCAACCCCTGCTCACAACGCTCTTTCAGCGCACTCTGTCGCATACCAGAAAGCCAATGTACTCCATCGCGACATTAGTGCTGGCAATATTCTCATCAACCGCAAAGGAGACGGCATGCTCATCGACTGGGACCTCGCGCTCGTCTACAATAACGCTGCTAAGTTGATCGACGATCAAGAGCCTCGGCTATCCTGGAGGACGGTCAGTGCCCCTATCTGCTCCTATTACCATACGGACATTGACCTCAATCACAGGGTACATGGGCTTTCCTTTCGTGCGCTCTTCTCGAGCAACCGTCCGACAAAGTTCACGAAATCAGCGACGACCTCGAGTCGTTCTTTTGGGTGTTGCTCTTCGTAGTTCTCCGATACCGCTACGGCCCCTTTGAGTGGGCGTCTCCCGGATATGACAAGACCTTTCAGGAATACCTTCTTCGATTGTTCGAGTGGAGGCAGGATAGCGGTGAATTCATCACGGGCGGGCAGCAGAAGCGCACATTCCTTCTCGTGGGTCAGTTTGGCGAGGGACTGGGCCACATCAGTCAGACTGCGCTCCTAGACATGCTCGACCTAGGTGGCGAGTACATGCCCGACCCGCTCGGTGTTCTACTCTTCAAACTTCGCGATGATTTCAAGAACCTCTACGCTCCTTCTAGACCATCACGCCATGCCGATGACTCTAGAGCACTTCTTCGCCAGAAGAAGGCGAGGAGGGCCGTCGCCTGCAGAACCATGGTGTTCTCCGCCGCTGGGACTGTGTTCGCCAATGCGACGCACCTCCAGAACCGCTTCACCGAAGCTCTCGAAAAAGATGGCTGGCGCAACGACGATGCTGCAATAGATCGCTTCCCGCGCGTCAGTTCTTCTCTGAAGACCCTATCGAAACTGGAGAAGGTCCCAGCGGTGTGCCGCGTGCGTTCAGACGACCCGACATTTCGACGCCTACACGATCCGACGAACAACTTACACTACGAGGTAGCTCGCGAAGACGCCGCTGCAGACGTGAAGCGGAGGCTTGGTGAAGATTTCGTCATTCCTAAACCGAAACTCGGGGTGAAGCGCGCACTGTCTACTATCGACGAGAGCGACGAGGGGGAGGCCGCCGATTCGGATGAGGAATGTGTCGCTTTGGTCTTAGAGCGTCGGGAGGTGACCCCGCCGCCTAAGCGTCAGCGCATGGATAAGGATGGCAGACCCCGTAAGGATGTGAATGGAAAGAGGGTATTCCTGGAGGCTTGGAGTGATTGATATTGTCCCTATCTGCCCGTCTTAGGCGCATAGCCTGTACCAACTGTATACTATAACTCATTGCTTCGTCTGTACCACATATAATGTGTACTGCCTCCGAGACTGGCTGTGAACCTAGCGTGCTTTCGGCACTTCCATAGTCATTTAGTATTCCGCCAGCGGCGGCCAACCTGATTTGAGTTCCACCCGGGGCCCGGGTCGCCGACCAATTGAGCCTTGAGTGTGTCGATAGACTGGTTACCTGAGCCGAGCCGCACTGAGTATGACATCCTGTTGGTTGGTATACAACCACATCCAGAGCGCGGGAACTAAATGAGAAGTGGCATGTACTACAATTTGTACTAACTTGGGTGCCCCACGCGGCGACGCGCCACAGCCCCAGGGTGAGACGCGGCAGGACGCGGCCCGAATGCCGAAATTCCTCAACAACCTGCATGTGTATGTAGTCGCGTCTTAGCTTCAACCACAACCACAACCACATATTACTCTGAGTCCTTGACACGAGGCTCAACCCCAGGCCTATAAATGCAGTCGCGGGCGTTGGACATGCGCTTCTACGCAGACCCAACACGACCCGCGCGCTTCATCTTCGAGTCCTATTCTCACAACCGTCTCCGTACTTCGTACCACTTGCGCTAGACATGGCGGACGCATTGATTGGCCCAATTCCATACATGCTCTTTCTGGACTCCTTTCATCCTGTCTCCTCAGCTCGCCCGCCTTTACCCAAGCTTTTGTTCACGGTCTCGCTACCCCACGAAGATCATATCAAGGGAGGACAAGACTCCGGATACTATCGTGGAAAGGATACTATTTCGGATGTCGTGCGTAATCTCTTGTAATATATGTATATAGTGATCTCACCTGTCATCTAGTGCCGTGCTATCAACACGAGTCAGGTCTGCTCCTCCATTGAGTTCCTCAGTACCGAGAACATTTGTCTCAATATGGAGGACGGGAGCCTCGCCGTGAGCGATTGTGGAACGAAGTTCAATGTCGGCGCCAGCGGTATGACCAAACTATCGAATACGGGCGTCAGGAAGGACGGTCAATCTGCTCTCGCTTTTGCGCCAGACTGGGAGCGTATGCGAGTCACAATACAGTTCAAGCTTGAAGAGGAGGATATCATCTTTGATCGAGAGTCAGATGAGGGTGGAGCTTGGGTGTGTATGATGGACTTCATTTGCTTGGACAGTAGCATCTGACGTTCAATATCTAGCAGTCGAAAGGATCCCTTACTCCCGACCAGTTAACAAGCGACGTTCGCCACCAGTTCAGCCGTCAGTGCCGCACATCTGTCACGTCGATCTTGATCCTCGAGCGCTGGGCGCGCCTTATCCGTCACGACCACGCTGGCACCGTAGTATCTGGGCGCTTCGATTGGCGCGCTAACGACGGCGCGCTACTGGCTGAATTCCTCTCTCGCCTGGAATACGGCTCGCCTCAGCAGGAAGGTGTTGACGACTCCGTCGGAGACTTGTCAGTTTTTGGCGGGAATGGTTCCACAGTTGTTCAGGAGGCGCGCAAGGCAATGCAAGAGTTCACCGCTGGCATGATTGCTGTGCCGCTTGCCGACGACGCTCCGTTGCGATCTGTCGAGTGCTGGGACGACAGCGAGCTCGATAGCAATGGACTGCCGAGGTCGCGAACCCTGATTGCTACCAAGCCTTTAGCATTGAACCTATCAGTTGTCAGTCGTTACACCGTCAGCTTCATCGGCTACGATGTCGAGAAGCGCTGCGCGTACTGGATCAAGGACTCGTGGCCGATCAACGATCCCGAGTTCACGAAGGAGGGAGAGATATACAAACGACTGAAGGACGCGGGTGTACCACATCTTGCCGAGGTTGAATGTGCCGGCGAAGTACGCTGGAAGGCGGACAATGCTGTGCAAAGGACGCGCACGAACGAGTTCAGCAATGCCACAGGCGGGACCGTGCATCCGCTCTCCCACTATCGCATTCTCTTCAAGGACATCGGACGTCCGGTCTACAGGTTCGAATCTACCAAGCAAATGGTCACTGCTCTTTCGCACGCCATCAAAGGTTTGTCTGATTCACTCCCCGTGGTCGGCGTCGCTGATTGGCCAATGTGATATTAGCTCACTCAGTTGCGTACGAGAAGGCACACATGCTTCATAGAGACATCTCTCCTGGTAACATCTTGATCAAACGGAACGGAGACGGCATGCTTATCGACTGGGATCTCTCCCTATACATCGATTCTCGGAAGGACGCGGCTAGTCGCGGGCCTCGCATGCTGTGGAGAACCGTGCGTACATAATCCGTTGCGCTGCAGGAATATCACCTCTAAACGTCGACGCAGGGAACTTGGGCGTTCGCATCTGTAATGCTCCTCTCGAGGCCCTTTGAGCGGGCGCACTCGCTCAGCGATGATCTTGAGTCCTTTTTCTGGGTCCTCCTCTTCCTTGTACTTCGCTATCGGTACAGCCCTGTCCAGCGGACCAGCATGCAGAGCGACGTCGACTTCCAGTCGTACATGCTTGAACTCTTCGAGTCCAAAACGATCGGGTCCGACGGCATCACACTTGGTGGAAGACAAAAACGGAATTTCCTCGCGGACCTATACGATGAACCCTCAGATGCTGATATCATGCTGATGAAGGATGCGTTGAACAAGTTCATTCCTCGTCCTCTCAGCGGGTTGATCATCACTCTGCGCAAAGAGTTGAACAATCTTTACGAGGCATTGCACGCTTATAGGAAAGCTATGAATCGCGCAGCCATAGCTGCAAAACTTGCTGCAGCCGATGCTGATGAAGAAACTGACGATGACGACGGTGAAACACTTCCTCGGCCAGCACGACTCCAACCTACGCCATCATCCTCGTTGCCGCCAGTATCGGCTCCAGCGCGGCCCACCCTCTTCGACGCACATCAGTTCATTCTCGCGCGCTTCGATGAGGCCTTATCAGCCAAATGGCCTCGCCGCGGTTTATCTGACTCGTCCGTCGACCGCATTCCTTCCATGTACCTCCCTGTACAACAAAAGCTCTCAAGTGCTCCGAGGAAGGATGCGCCGGCTCCTGTCACACTCAGTGATGACCCCGTGAGGAGGCGTGTGTATGATCTGTCCCACCAGGTGTTCATGCGCCATCCGGATCAGGTAGCGGAGTATGCGAGAGAGCGCGCTGGCGGCGACTACATAACCATTTCCTTATCTGGAACGCAGTTGCCTCGCGGGCAGAAGCGGAAGCGGGAGAGTACACTGGAGTCGATTCCCGAGGAGCGGGAGCCCAAGATGCCCAAGTACGGCGTGCAGGCGATCACTCTAAGGCGTCAAGATGCTGGCCCACCTAACGAGGTCCTCATCCGAAACTCCAAAGATGGATTCATCAAAGACGCACATGGATTCGCGACGGCTACCGAGGCTTGGAGTGCACCACCGCTGCGTGGATTATGAGATCACATTGTCGCTGCCCTCTTTGTATACTTGTGTACTATACATACTGTTTGCCTATACTGTACTATCCACTAATGGGTTCTCTTAGAGCCTCCGAATTACGCTCTCAGACCTGTTTCCCTAGGCGTCGGAACACTTCGCTGCGCGACTGGGCGTAATGCAAGCGCCTGAGGTATAAGCACTAAGAAAAATGGCTGCTAAGCGTCGCATTGTCGGTCCGAATTGCCGACCGCTCGCGGTTCGCGGCGTCAGGCGTGTACACGACTTGCGTTCTGCTACCACGACACGGGCCATTCCTGAGCAAGATTTTTCCGATTTATATCGAGGGTGCAAAGCAATATATGGCATATGCGCTATTCTCGTGATTGCATCCTGCATAGTCTCTTGGACAGACCCGGGCTCTAGTGCACGACTCGAGTGATTCAGATAGGGGCATGTGCCATAGGGACGGGTCCAGACGTTGCATTAGACATGCTCTTTTACTCTCAACCTTCATCAGACTACCTTCACCGAACCCAAGGGCGAGTGGTAGTGGACATGACGGGCCAGTGTATGCTGCGGGGAGTAGGCCCTCTTGCATCTGAGCTAAAGCCAGACGAGCTCTTGGGGGCAGTATCATCATCAGTACAGCAGACTCGCAATAACCATATTAATGGATGTTGCGATATGTAATGACGCAAGGCGTGCTAAGAAGCTTCCTTTCGGGTTAATATCCATGCCGAGCGGATGGGGGAAAGGGTATTCACGAGCAGCGGCATCGCGGCAATCCAACGACAGAGGCACTTGGTTGATGGCGAAAATCACGGAATCTTGAAGCCACAACGGCATGTATAGCAGACATCTACATGTGTACAAATATTCTTCTTCCTTGTCAACGTACAAGCAGCAGCAGCATTTCCGGTCAGAGTCCCAAGGGATCACATCGTCGTCAGCATCAGAGCTTGGGGGCTTGAATGAAGGTTACACCCTGTGCGCAGTCACGATGAGCGCACAGCCAAGAAGAAATAGTAGCAGGGAATCCACATACCGTCTCGATGTTCTTCTGCAACTCCGGAATAGCCGCCTTGATCAGACCCTGCTCGAACTCCGTGACCTTACCGATCGGGTTGATCTTCGCGACACCCTCCGGCCCAATCTCGACGTTGGCGCTGAAGAACTCGAGGTCGGTGCCCAGCTCCTTCTTGAGTGCGGCACCGCCGGCCTCGTCGGCGCTGAGGTGAACGTAGGTGGGCGCGATGATGCCCTTCTCGCCGCGGATGGCTTTGAGGACCTTGGTAGCGAACTCTGCGCCGGCGAAGGCCATCGAGAGCGTCGCGGATCCGGCACCGTCCTTGGCCTTGACGACCTCGTCGCCACCGAATTGGATGCGGTTGGTCAGCTTGTCGAGCTTCTCGCCCGATGCGAAGTCAGAGGGGAGCGGGTGCGAGGATTGCGAGAGGAGCGGGACGATCTGTGGTTGAGAAGATGCAGTTAGTACGTTGGATGAATGGAGAAGGTGGGGCGGGTGAGAGGTGATTGGACTGACCGTGACGCCCGAGTGGCCACCGATGACGGGGACGACGACTTCGGTCGACTTGCCAAGGTCGCCCAGAATCTCGGCAACGAAGGTAGAAGCGCGGACGACGTCTAGCGTGGTAACACCGAAGATCCTGTGTACTTCTTCGTCAGAAATCACTCCTTGCGCCGATAACGCACACACACGTGTGCGGATTACAGAGATGAGGAACTGAGCTTACCTCTTGGGGTCGAACACGTTGTGCTTCTTGAAGACCTCGGCGACGATGGGGACGGTCGAGTTGACGGGGTTGGAGATGACGAGAACGAACGCCTTGGGCGCCGTCTTTGCGATGGCGGTGGCGAGATCGCGGATGATACCACCGTTGATCTATCACGCGCGATGAGTTTCGTACGAGGCTCTACCGGGGAGGAAGAATATACCTTGAAGAGGTCGTCGCTGACGGCGCGGGGAAGAAATCATATGAATACGCGCACACGCTTGTGAAGACAGCGGATTGCCTTACCGGGTCATCTATACGAGATTTAGCAGATGTTTGACGAGGATATAATCAAATGCGCAACTTACACCAGGCTTACGCGGAACTCCGGCGGGAATCACGACGAGGTCGGCACCCGTGAGCGCCTTGGACAGACCATCATCCGGAGGCAAGAAACCCTCGACCTTGGCGGGCGTCGAGATGTGCGAGAGGTCTGCAGCGACACCGGGCGTGTTCACGATATCGAACAGAGCAAGCTGAAGTAGCTCGATTATTTCCAAAGCCGTTGGCAGTCGCGATCTTGGCTTACCTCGGTGACCAGAGGGTTCGCCTTGAGCAACAACGCGAGAGGCTGGCCAATGCCGCCTTTGATTGCCTCGATCAGCTACTTTCTGCATTATATTGGGTGGTACATACCAGCAGCACCAAGAACGACGGCCTTCGGCATGTTAGTGAGAGCGGAGATGGTGGTAGATGGGGAGAAAGAAGCGTTGCTGGCTGATTTCGAGCCGGCCTTGGCCTTGTTCTGCCCCCAAGGTTCGTGTGGGGCGGGCCGAAGCTCCGGAATCACCGGCTCGCGTGGCACGTGCTAGCGAATGGCTCGCGTCGCGTTGGCGCGTTTTTGAGCAGACGCGTCCATCGTCTCCTCCTGCTGGCTTCGGGTACCTTTCGTCTGCGCGCACATATCTTGCTCTGATATCTGTCTTGAATATCCTGAATCTGATCTGAAGCTGGGAATATTGCCAAACCTTAGTCTACGTCCGCAATATAATCTTGACAATTCGCGATGCCTCCTCGTGTACCCACATCACTACTGGACGGAGGTGCCTGGCTTCGTATCGCATCTGGCAACGCAAAATGTCCCCACAGAAACGGCGTCGTCAGGCAGATGCAAGCGGCCGCACATGCACTGGCCAGCGCGCCAGTGACTGATGAATTCGCTTCGTCACCGGTACCTACACAGTGAGTATTGTGTCCCTCGATACCAACATGTGAGCGCGGAGTCTGACCCTGGTTATAGCGGAAGAAGGAAGCGAAGAAGCACCGGGTCTTTGGCTGTACGCGTCCCTGAGGCGTCAGGAAGCAACACTGCTGTCACGGAGTTGCAAAAACGCTTCAGTGCGCTGGACGAGGTTATTCAGGAGGAAGTCGAGATGGTATGCGTTTGATACCTCTACGCGAAGAATCAGACTCTAATATGGTTTCAGGCTCCAACAAGTGCCTCAGAGCCGTCCGAATTCTCCGAGGACGAACTCCTCGGGTTCTACGAGGACGTACTTAGCTTGCCCCAGGAGTCCGCTGCGTCTACGTCTGCTATTGCTGCTCCACAAGCTTCTACGGACGATGTTTCGCGAGTGCAAGCACTAGCAGACACGCTGGCACCCACCACACCGGCTGTCTCTGAGACCGATTCTTCATCGACTTCCCTGCTTGAAACACTTCAAAAACGCCTCGACCCATCTTCAGCTTTGTCGCAAGTCCAGCATCTTTCAAAGACGCGCGACTTTCCAGAACTCTTGGCACTTCCTGCATACCAACGCGTCATCTATCGACTCAAGCAGACGGTGCCGGAGTTGGTCCAGATCCGGCAGAAGGCTGAATCGGACGCCGTTCCAATCGTTCTTCTGACCGAGGCGGACTGGAAGGCTCTTGTGCAGACATGTGTACGTTGGCATGAACGTTAACTGGCGTTCATTGGGTAGCATGCTGAAGTTATTGTCAGGTCAAACACGAAGACATCAAGTCCGCCGAGGACGTTCTCGGGCTGATGCAGGCCCTTGAGGGCGAGAAAGCTGGCGAACTCGCTACAGATGTTATGGAGTTTTACGCCGAGCGGGGCGACGTCATGAATGCAGAGCGCTTGTTGCACGCGTACCAAATTGGTACGTTATGATTGCCCCACTGCCACTCACACTGATCAATCGTAGGTTTACCCACCGAGCGACAACGCGATGTGCACATCCAAGCCCACCTTCATGCTACCCCACGCAACATCATGCCAGAATCAGCGCTCGCTGTCCTGCATCAATACGAGACGAGAAACGTGCCAGCACCCATGTCAACATACACGGGCGTAATCACCCACCTTTTCAACGAAGCGCGCTCTTCCGCAGCTACGGCCCAAGCATGGGATCTATACGGCCATATGCGCTATGTGGCACACCCGCAACCCGACGCAGCGCTCTACGCCACGATGATCCGCGCATGCGCTCCAGTGAACGGTCAACCAGAGCCTGAACGCGCACTCGATCTCTTCACCGAAATGACCGTCGACAACGGGGTGGAGCCAACCCAGGCAGTATACAACGCCGTGATCCTAGCCTGCGCGCGCTCGGGCTCTCAATCTTACGTCACCGAAGCGTTCCGCATCGCCCGTCAGATGCTTGACGCCCGTAAAGACGCCCGTGGCCAAGCGCAGTTCCGGGCCAACATCGATACATTCACCGCTCTACTTGAGGGTGCAAAACGTCGTGGCGATCTTGCGAGGACGAGGTGGATCCTGGCGGAGTTGGTCGCGGAGGTTGCGAGAGCGGCGGAGGGGAAGGCGCCGGCTGTTAGTGTATCGGATGAGACGATGGTCCATGTGTTCCACGCATACGCCGCATATCGTCCGCCGCGCGTGCAGCTTCGCTCGGTGCCGGATGCTCCTGCCGGGGAGTCGACACCTACACCCTCGCCTTCGAGCGCGAAACAAGTGGCAGCGCAGGATCCGGGTCCTTCTTCAGCCCCAGTGAAAAACCAGTCTGGGGAATCACGCTCGCATTTACCGCCTCAGAGCCGCGCGGAGGTTCTGCGCGAGGCGAAGGCGATCTTCGAGCGTATCGTGTCGGAGAGCAAAGCTGGTTCAGGCCCACTCTCGACTGTGAAGCTCACGCCCAAGCTCATTGACGCATACCTCGCCGTGCACTACGTCCATGCCAATCTTGCCAACGCTTCTGCTCTGTTCGACACGATCTTCGCAGAGCACGGTGTACGACGCGGACCGCGAGCACTGGTCAACGCGCTCGAACGTTGCGCGACGTCTAAGACGGGCGAGGACCGCGAAGCCGCAGTTACATTTGCAGCGAAGCTCTGGCCGGAGTGGGAGAACGTTGAGATGGAGGGATTCAGGAAGGGGAAGGCTCTGAACCCGAGGCTCGTCGAGCAGGCGCATGTGGCAAGGATACGCGTTCATGCACTCGCGAATGATATTCCGCGCTCGTTGGATAGCATTCGCTCGTTCGTTGCGCGGTATCCACCGTCGAACGCGCGTGTGCCCGCTCTTCAGCCGGATTACCGCTCTCCCCGTGTACGGCTACACGCTGCACGCCCGCTCGTGCGGTTGACATCTGCGACGGACGTAGCGGACGATACAGTCCCGCCGCAATTGACGTGGCCTGATCTAGACGTCGTACATCATCGATGCGTTGTTGCTGGACGTGCGGACGGGGTCAGGTACATCAAGTGGGTGTGCCATGCGTATAGGGGCGCCGTGAAGGTTAGGCGAGAGAAGTTTTTGGGCGTGGAGGGGGATATTAGGAGGAGGGAGAGAGAGAAGGAGAAGGAGGAGAGGGAGGTTAGGGATATCGTGCAGGGATCTATGACGGCTTAGGCTGACGTGGCTTGGATTGCGATGGTGGTGGTTTGGAGTTGCTGTTTGTTTATTCATGCTATCGCGCTTTCGTGTTACTAGTATCTTACTGCACACATTTATTGGATGCCCATATCTCCTCTCACTATACATGATTTAATCTGTTCCGATTTTACTGAGGTCCGATGCTGAGCCTCTCGAGCCGATGCTCCTGACTCAATGTGTAGACTACGCCTATAGTTCCTGAGCCACGCTGTCGGAGATTTATAAGAACTTGCTAGCAGACTACGTTTGCAAAGCCCGCACTTGCAGTTGAAGTCAGCCCGCACTTGTGCTCGAGCGCTTTCGTCGAAGAAAGCTTCAAGTTCTTCAAACAAAACCATGACATAGGATAGAAGCCGCTTATAGTCGCATGCAGAGAGCAGAGAGCAGGGTGCAGATGAAGGATAGGGGCAAGAGTAATAGCGTCAGGACAACATCGCGGTTGAACAAGAGACGCGCAGCGCATCGGGACGTGTAATAGGGGCACTCGGCAAAGTCCCTCCCGCGCCCTGGCCGCCTGCTCTCGAGGGACTCTACTACGCCGCTAAGTATCTACGGCCACCCGACGGTGATCGAGAGGCTCGCCGTTAGGACGCGCACGAGATCCAGGACCATCACTCTCACTCAAGTCTGATATAAGAAAGCATGTATCTCCATCACGCCGTTACACCGAGGCAACTACAACATACAAGGCAACATCCACTGGAATGCCAGAGTCCCAAAGAGAAAGTGAGCAAGCAATAACAGACCCGATGTTAAAACCAGAGGAAAGAAGACAATAGGTGACGGAGGAGGTTGTAGGGTCAAGGAGGGGAAGTTTAAGAAGGCGGGCTGTCGAGCGTGGAGTCAGTCATCAAACTCATCAGAAAGACTGAAGGACCACGTACACGGGAGCGACAGATGTGACTGGGCCCGGATCAGTTGAAAGAGTCGGGAAGGGCGTCGAGGCACACGCCTGCTCAACATCAGCGTTTGAGAGACCGGCGGGGAACGTCGCAGCCTTCGTGAGCGTCTTGGGTACTGGAATGACGTCCGAGCAGTCGACCATCTTGCTCGTGTCCTGCCCAAGCACGGCAAGCTTGGCCATTGCGGCAGCGAAGGAACTCATCATGTGCTGTTGGTTGTTGACGTTGGCCTGCCACAAGCATGCCGTGCGGCTGTCACGCGCGAGCTCTGAGTCGGACTGCAGCCTGAGCTCTCCAGCCAAGGGAGACTCGACCTCTCCTTGGTTTCCACCGGTACCGGGGAACAGCGTACCGCGAAGTTGAGTCTCGACGAAGAATTGCGTATCAAATGCGCCGGGAGTACTGTCGAAGGGTGAACCAGGAATCGAAGGGTCGACGTGATCGGCCGCCGCAACACTGTGCGATGCAAGTAAAGCGACGACTTCAGCGGCTGAGAAGCCGCCAGCGTCCGAGAAGCGTGCTAGAATGCTGTCCACTGTGTCAAAGGGCTCCGGTACGGTCTTGTCGGCCGCGGGATGCGTTGCATCCTTGCGGCCAAGGAGGAACTGCGCCACCATCAGCCTCCAAGGCATCCGTGGGAGAACGTGATAAAGAGCATACCTGAAGGCGAGGAGCGCCTGGACAGTTGGAGACCCCGACCGCACCCGCGAACTGTATGAAATCTGCAGCGGATATCTCGGGATGGGCGGCGACGAAGGGTTTCTGCTCGCCCACGATCTCGTCGATGCCAGTGTTCGCGTGATAGGATAGCTCGGTGTCGAAGAGGAGGAAGGAGCCATCGGCGCCAGTGCTTTGATGTGTCATTAGGACAATACCCGAAGCGAATGGGAGTGCACATACCCAACCGATGCGTTGCTGCGAGAGATACCAATGGCGTCGTGGAACGTCAGACGAAGCGACTCGTGGACTTCCTCTCCACACTCGCCGCCGTCGAAGAGATTCGTCTGGATGTCCTCTAGTATCGGAAAGAGAACGCAACACGCTTCGTTCCCCGTGACATTTCCGTCAGCGCAGGTAACGCGCTTGGTGACAGCGGCTACGAAAGGCGTTAGATGATGTCTACTACAAGGAACACCAAAGGTACTCACCGCTGGTGACAGTGGCAAGGACCACGATGGAGGCAAGCTTAGCGAGTGACATCGCCAATGAGGTGTAGAAGAGAGGGGTAAGGCTCAAGAGGGGAACGATGACAAGCTGCCGAAGCCTGGCTCTCTTCGCCACTCCAAACCTCGCCTTTATATACAGTACTTACTCGGCGTCAACGACCGATCCGACTGCAGCTCTGTAAGACGAAACGCGGATATACGCGGGAAAACATCAACCTATAACCAAGCGTGTCTTGTCGAGCAACGAGCACAGAAGCCAATAAGCTTGTAGGCATTGTCTCTGGCACAGGTACGCGATCCGCGCCCTGATCAGATGCGGTGGACTGCATGCCGGGTGTGACGGCCTAGGAGGTCTGTATTCGGGATACTTGGCATTCGGCGTGAGGCCAACTCTATTGAAACCATGTTCTCATGAGAAAATAAGGAGTTAGGTTACACTTTTGCGGAGACGGTTGAGGAGCCGATGTGTCAACATAGTTACGGACGCCGACATCCGTGATGAGGTATATGGCAATCTCACAAGAGGCTGTCCAGTTTGGGAAGGTATGGATGTCACCGCCGATGCGTTTTGGGGAGTGTTGTTGAATCACGTAGTACCCGGGTCCACTTCTTGTGCGTGCACATCGTTCAGTCGCTGAAAGTACATGGCTGCACGGCCTATATGTCGAGGTGAACATATGTCGAGCATAGTAAGCAGATCGCCGATATTGATAGAGATGTTTGCATACCGCACATCCACTTCCGCGTGGCAATTTGCATAGGTAAGCGATGCGGCGATATGGCTGGTATAGGTTGTAGAGAGTTTTGATGTCGTTTTGCGAGCGCGTTCAGATCTTGACTCGGACTCAGAGTTAGCGACGTCCCTGACGGAGAGGTGAATAGCCAAGAGACGGCCAGCCGGAGCTGTGGGACGGTCTGACAAGTAGAAATATCGAGTCCAGTGAAAAAACCTAGAGACGTGTTCCCAACTTCCCAGGCATCGCATATCCGCGCGCCTTCGATTGGTGTACGGGAAGCGTGAGCGTGAGCGTTTGGAAAGGGGCGTGATGATCCATCTTCGTAGTGCACGAGGTATGACAGGAAACGATGCTACAAGCACTGTCATATCCCAAAAGGTGCATCATCCCTGACATCCCTGAGAGACAGCGGAATCTAGTCTCCGTGTTCCTGAGAGCGCGAGTACGTCCAGACAGCCTGTGAGAGAACACAGGCCTGTAGCTGTGTTTAGCTACGGTTGGACTCGGGAACATATTTGATAGAGGTGAGGCGAGAGCCAAGGCCAAATCACCATGGACATGACGGTGAGAGGAAAGCGACGGTGCCGTCGGCGGGAAGACGCGCAACAGGGGCATCCGGTAATACCCGGCCAAGAGTGTTCGCCGGTTCGGCTTGCCGCTACCCTTCACGAAATTCTGTAGCCTCTGTCGCCATGAATTCCCAAGAACACATCTCGCACATAACGGTGCTTGAAAGAGTACGACGTGCTGCGCGTGTCGGGTGACAAGCATACACTGCTATTGAGCAGCGGTCAATCGTGGATGACTGGCTGTGCACCAGTAATACTCCGCTTGTCCTTCCTTCCCTTGAGGATATGAGACTTATATGGTGCGTTTGTCTGTCTTTGTGATAGCTCGACGTTGGCCAATACCTTCAATTTCTAGTATTACAAGTCCGTTGTGATTACTACACGCCCAAACAAGAGACAGTCCGTACATCGTAGTGGCTAGCGCTACAGAGTCCGTTCAAAAGTCCTCATACAGCATCATATACTCTTCATTGGTTTCAAACCCTAGTCCGTGCGCCGCCGTTTGCTGCCCACATCAGCATTCACAGTCTGGAGTTCGTCCTCGCTCTCGTCCTCGTCCCTTCCGCGCTTCATCCGCTGCGAGCTCCCCGTCGCCGAGTCCGGTCCGCTCGACACAGCACCGGCCAGTACTGGCATAGCCTCAGC